GAGTCTGGTAGATGTGCTGCTGAGGTTTAGGCGTTGGCGGGTCACAGTGACAGCCGACATCAGCAAAGCCTTCCTTCAGATCAGTCTCAAAAGGGAAGACAGAGACGTCCACAGGTTTCTGTGGATCCATGACGGTCGGAAACGTGTGATGCGCTTTCGGAGGGTGACATCTGGCGTCAGCAGCAGTCCGTTCCTGTTGAACGCCACAATCCGGCATCACCTGTCCACATGTGCTCCGTCCCGCACGATAACTGAGATGACCGAGAACTTGTATGTGGGTAACCTCCTCTCAGGTGCTGATTCGGAGGAGGAGGCCAGCTCTCTATTGTCTGAGGCTCAGGTCATGATGCCTGGAGCGGTGATGACACTGATTAAGTGTAACTCCAACAGCGCGGTAGTATTTGACAGGACCCACGCAGCCGCCGGAAGCAGCGAGCGCGAGAGCGCCAAGGTTTTGGGGGTTATGTGGAACCCAGGCGGGGACACTTTCTCATTTGAGGGCCTGGCGGTTCCCGCTGACCTGCTCCGACCAAACGAGTGGTACTGAGCTGCATAGCTCGGCTGTTCGAACTGCTGGGGTTCGTGGCGCCGTTCGTGATGGTGGCGAAGAACCTGTTCCAGGAGCTGTGGCAGCTGGGGCTCGACTGGGACAATGCTCTCTCGGCAGGCCGCAGCCTGGTCTTCTCGGACTGGCTGAGCGGTGTTGGGACGCTGAAACAGCTGCGGATCCCGCGCTGCTACTAGAGCCGCGGCTGGTATCTCGGTGAGGACGTGTCACTGCACGCCTTCGATGACGCGTCTCCAAAGGGGTACGGAGCGGCGGTGTATCTCTGTACCGCCCAGCCGGACGGCTCCGGTGAGGTCCCGTTGGTGTTGGCTAAGGCACGGCTCGCCCCGCTGAAGCGGGTCACGCTGCCGCGGCTCGAGCTTCTGGGGAGCCTGCTGGTGGTGCGCCTGGCCGCACTCGTGCGGCAGGCTCTGCGGCTTCCCGAGGACACGGTGAATGGGTGCTGGACCGACTCGATGATCGCGCTGGGATGGATCCGTGGTGAGCCTCAGCGGTGGAAGCAATTTGTCGCTAACCGAGTGACAGAGATACAGAGTTTCACGGCTCCGCCAGACTGGTCGCACGGTCCAGGTGAGGAGAACCCGTACATTTTCGTACACCCGTTGACCACAACTTTTAACTGCTAGGCCGACGCTGCGATGCCTACGGAAACTGCGACGCCTGGAATCGAGGCCCGTGTTTCTAAAATTTTCGAGTGCGCATGCTCAAAATTACGTCACATAACTTGTATTGCTAGTTGATTTAAGTGTTTAAAGATAATCATTTCAGAATCGTCATTATTTTAATCCACCGGTGGAACACGACTTAATATTAGCTACTGGGCTAACGCTCCGCCGACTACGGAGACTGCAACGCCTGGTGTCGAGTTTTTGTCGCTAAGATGTCCGAGCGCTCATGTTAAAAGAGTTACATAAATTGAATCACTAATCGATTCTGACTGAATGATGAATATTTTCGGAAAAGCATGACTTGGCCATGTAATACATGCTGTTGACCACTTCATATGCAATCAAATTTTCCTCTTCAGATTTAGATCAAACATATCGATCTACGTTCGCAATGTCCTCAATGTGTTTAGAAACCAGATAAAAAATTTGACAAAGCTTCTAAATTTTATCGGTTTAGAAAGAGCCAACTAACCATGTAAATCAAGAGCGCCGGTAATTTTTTCCATGCAGTCGTTGAACGCCTGATTTCTGCACTTTATTGGCATCAAAATACAGACAGAATTGAACTCACGATAGCTCCAGGTTTCTGTTCTGGTAACAAGGCAAAAATAACAGTAAAACGAAGAAAACCGTGTCACGTGTTAACAAATAAGCCATATCCGGGATTTTTGTATTGGGGGGGGGGGGGATCACGGTAAGATGGGCTTTTGTCGACCTTGTGTTCCCCCTTGGCAAGGCTCTGGCTGCGCCCCTGCTTGCACATAAAAGCAAATGATATCGTATGCGTTGCATGATGGGCAATGAAGTGTCCGCTGGACAAAGTCATACCTAAGGCAGACAGCTTCCCGGAGGCTATTTTTGTGCGATGGTGTGGTGTGAGGGAAGATAATTCGGAAAATATATTGTTGCAGGTGTCTAACACGTGTTTCATACACCATGTAGTAGTAACGCTGGTCCAAAGTATGCAACAGAGCAGCCACACGATCAGTTCGCAGTCAGTCATGCGGTATTCATCGGGGCCAGGGCAGTGACCACTGACGGCGGACAGGAGCAGAGCCCAGATATGGAACATATGACAGATTGGCCTTATTACATGACCTGACTTTCAACAGAAAATCTCAAGTTTCACGGCTTTTGTCACATTATTTCTAGCAGTTTCAAGCGTCCGAATTTGTTTCCGCCTACAATTCTGCTTCAAGTCGGATCCCTTGAAGAGCAGCCAGCGAAATAAAGGCGCATGAAAAATATGTTACACTTTGAGCCATCGATCCACTCAAAATTCTCGCCAGCCTATATCGAGGCCGCATTTTGGCATCTGCACTGGAAACAGGTGCTTCCTTAATGACCCGAAATGCCTACCCGCTCGTGGAATTTCGCCTCTCCAGGATATACAATGTTAAAATGGACGAATAATTTAGGGAGCGCCCGTGAGGCGCATGCGGGCCATCAGCACGTTCACGTCCCAGAACGCGACCAGCGCGCCGGCCAGCAGCATGTACTCGTCGCCGTCGCGCAGCGGGCCGAGTGGCGCCATCTGCGCGAACCCGGCAGCGCCGCAGTCGTCCAGGTCATGCGCGCACGCGGCCACGTCGCACACCTTGTCGCAGAAGCGGTCGCCCAGCCACGAGACGCCGCAGCCGGTGGCGCAGGTGTCCTCGTCGTCGGGCGGCGGCAGCGCGTCGCCGTCGGCGTCGGTGGGCGCCGACGGCGCGTCGCTGCCGGTGCGCGGCTCTGGAGCGCCGTCGGCGCAGTCGCCGCCGTCCCAGTCGCCCAGCGGCGTGTTGCAGGCAGCGTCGCAGTGGCCGTCGCGCAGCCAGAGGCTGGCGCAGCCCCAGGCGCAATCGGGCAGCCGCCAGGCGAGGCGCACGCTGTAGACGTCGCCGGACGTGTAAAAGTCCTCTGGCCAGACGGGTCGGCCCAGCAGCACGTCGTCGTTGAAATGGAGGAAGCGCTCCGACAGTCCGGCGATTCGGTGGAGGTGCGCCTCGATCGCCGGGCTCGAGAACGTGGGCAGATGCGACGCGTCCAGAAAGATCTCCTCGTGCGTGACGAACGTGAGGCGCGCGCTGTCCAGCGCCAGCCAGTCTGGGATCTGGCCGTTCGTAACGAGGTACACGCGCCGCACCCAGGGCGCGAAGCGTTCCAGGGAGCGCAGCTCCTGACTGTCGGCGAAGCGGCTGGGTACCACCGCGTCGCCGGCCGGTGACGTCAGCTGCAGCACGAGTGGCGCCCGCCGCCCGTTCGCCGGCTGACTGCTGACGGTCACGTTCGCCAGCGCCACCAACCGGCCCTCGGCGGCGGGGTCGGCCAGTCGCAAGACGGCGGCGCTCCCATACGCGCGGCGCGCCACGACGGCCTGCAAAAGCTTGACATTTGGCTGACAAGCTTGCGGGACACTTTGGATGTTGATATTGGCTCTTTATCACCAATGGTGGTGAAGAGCACGTGTTCTCAGTTTTATCTCAATATTTTGGAAATTTGTATAACATTTCAAGAAACCATTCTGCATCCTGTGAAAGCGTGGGACAGTTCCAACGTGAGTGTAGCCATGGGATTCTGTTGGGCGCCCATGACACAGCATTAACACGAACACGATACTTCATAGTCTGTCAGGCCCACCTTATTGGGTCCTCAACCTTTGTCGGTACATCCGCAATAAGTCCTGGTTTGCTCTGCTACTATTTTCTCTGAAAAAAACTGAGATAAAACTTCATTGCAACTGCACGTGGAGGTGAATTTCTGGCATCACAAATCTAGTCAGAACGGCTCAATCAGTAACATTGCCAGGGGTGGCAAGGCTGGATAAATTGCCCTTTGTGGAATTTGCGTTATCAAGGAGTTGTGCACCTTAAATAAAAATGCGCTGCAAAAGTGAACATCACCTCATATCAGCTAGGAAACTCATTATGTAAGGACACAGCAAATGCTCATGAGTGTTTCCAATTGCACGCAAAAGACGACTTGCATCCACCACATTTATGGCTGCGCATTTGGGTACACCATGGGGTTTCTATCCAGCCCTGGGCGGTAGGCAGTTGATGATCCAGTTGTAAGCAGTAAGCAGTTGACCCCCGCACCTGGCAGGGGGAAGGTCGATGGGACCGCCTAAGGTTTTGTAAGGATGTCTCCGGCATGTTCTGTAATCGTGCCTGATTTTTTGTTAGCCTCCGGGGAATTTTTTGTGCATGATTTGATATCAAAAGCATGTCTCTAGTTTGTCAGGCTTATGAGGAGCGACGGTTTTTTAGGAACACTGCACGACAACCCACGGCGTGCGCGGGCGGCGGGCGGCAGCCGACGAAGCCGCCGATTACGCGCAGCGGGTATATACTCTTCCATTAACGATGCCATGCCTCTTCAATATATGCTCAAAACACACAAAGCTACATGTTTCGGTGTTCAAAATTGCAAAGATGCGTCTTTTTAAGTTCGTCGTTGTTTTGTGGCATCGTTTTGTAAACATGGGCATGTAAAATTAAAGTCGTTCGATCTGCGGGTAAAATTGAATCAGCCTGAACTTGATTTTGTGAAGCATTGACCTTTAACCTCGCCTCGTGGGGTCACTTATTGAGAGCAGCTTAAAGCTCATTACCAATCGTGTGATCTCGTTAAGACCATCCCACCGTTTCTTTTTCACTACGCCCTATCCTTCGTAGCTTAGAAACGGCAGGGAAACGGGGGGGGGGGGGGGGGGGTCGCATCGATGTCGCTCCCCTTCTAAAACCGCGTAATGAAAAACAACGGGCCGGGCGGGGTTACGCCAATAGATCAACTGTGAAGTGATCCCTTTTGCACATACCACAGCAAAAATGAAACATGTTTTCTTGGAAAGATTATCAAAAGATAAAGAAAGAAAGATGTGCAATATGTTAAATTTGCACGGCGCCCCTATTCCACCATTTCGAGAGATGAACTACAACACATCGTATATTTTTGGAGTAGCTACAAGCGTTTCAACACTTGCTTCGCTGCGTTAATAAAAAAACGCATCAATTTTTACTTTGTATCTTTTGCAGCTAGATTGCAGCCTCTACCTGGTCCGTGGACTGAAATATGGCGCAAAATGTGAATAACGATCGAAAACGGTCAAAACCATCCTGCTGGCTCGTACACACGTGGCACGCGGCACATGTGACATTTTAATATACACCACGAGATTGTCTGTCGACTCTCTATCAATGTATGCCAATCTCGAGTACGTTCGTGGTCTGGGTACCGACATGCGGCAAAAATACGTGTAAACTCTTCGAAAATGGCCAAGTCCACCTAGCCAGCTCGTGTGAGGGCCACATGTGGCCCATGTAACTGAAAACGTGGTACCACTCAATAGCCAGTTCCCTTCGGTTCTGACGTATGACACTACCGAATCCAGTGGTGGGCCAACAGCCCGACAGCCCGACAGTTTATCACAGAGATCAGCAAACAACAAATGTTGACCCAACGAACCGCCGCATCGCAATCCCGCATTCCGTTGCGCTTTCCACGTGGAGACACTTCATACGAGTTCTGAAATGACGCTTAAGCTTGCTGAAACGCTGACTGCGTGTTAACAAGCTTCATGTTCCCCACTGCACTGAGCTTACAGCCGATAAAGCATATAAATGATTTGTTCAGGACCTAACACAAGGGCCAGATGTCATTTAAAGCCGTCTTGGGTAACGAAGAGTACGAATCACGTGTGGGCCTTGTCCACTGTCCCGCAAACCCACCGCAATCATTTACAGTCAGGAAGAAAATGCAACACCGAAGTGTTAAAAAGGTTGTCACCGACGACAGATCATAAAAATATAGACGTGGCCAACTGAGCACACGGCTTCCATCGGCGAAATGCATGTCGATGTAACAAAGTTGCCAAGAGCACTCCTAACGACAGTATATGTGTTGTGGCAAAAGCACCTACGTTCTTTGTTCAGTCTTGATTTGGTTTCATTGCATGCCTATCGCTGCCGTAATCGTCCTCCAGTTCGTCGAGCTGCAAGGCTTGATACATTTCGACGTCTTCTCCGACCATTTCCCCAACTGTCTTTGGCAGCGGCTTTCCCATCGTCTCCGGTAGCAGCAGGTCCAGCAGCGCCGATGATGTGATCAGTGCTCCGAAAACGAAGAAATGAAGATCTTTCTTTACAATATTCTGTGAACGGGTAGGAAAAGTTTGGTAAGAAATTCACGGCACCTTAAGGGATGAGACCGGGCAAAATACGTTTACATTTTAACGATTCTTTGTATTTCAAGTGAACGCCGTGTAAAAGAACCACTCACTTCTCTTCAAGCCCGTTGCGACCTAAATTTCCAGCGCATTTGGTTGATTCTGGGTCTGTACCCGAAAAGCACAACTCTGAGTTGACTTTGATTCCAACTCAGGAAGAGCGACTCAAGGAAGCAGAATGCGGTAAGAACAGATGACTTGATAAACCGCTCTATGGGTTACGTAAACACGTATGTTGACGATCACACGAGAACACCATGTCGTGTGGTCCATTCGCCGCAAAGTTGAAGGCTGTAAGAACAATAATATCGTTCGTTACATTTATGTTTGAGTCCATTCATCACCGATTCCAGCCACATTTCATTTGAACAGGAGTAAAACCTATACTAGTTTTCGAGACAACAATGGGCTTCAACTGCATTTTCCGTTTCCAAAAAGACATCCCTCAACGCGTTTCATTTGATTCGACTAAACCATTGATATCGGCAGAACTGGAAAGTCCAGATGAGGATTCTTACGATGAAAATTAAATACAACTATTTTTCCCGTCCATGGTATCAATGACTGTACGCGGTGTACGGGTGCAAACCAAAGCTCTTTAAGGGAAATAATTGCACCAATCAGCGGGACGGAAATGATCAGCACGTGTGGCATTTAATGGCGCGTCCGAGACAAACTAACGCCGCACGGAAAATCATGTTCCCATAGCCTGTTGACCATCGGCCATTGCTCTCATGGCAAGTTTCCTCAATTCATTGGCGATAAATAACATAACGTAAGGTCAAGTTGGTGGAAAAAGTAACGTGACGGCGTAAAACAAGCCCTTATCATGAGCAAGGGAGGTGTTGAGCACCGAGGCCGAAGGCACGATTGCGCCGGAAGCCAATCAGTACTTAAATCGTAAAAAGAATATGGTTCGGTATTACCGTGGTCTGTGCAAGTGCTGAGGTGTATTAGCTTCTTGGTTTTGACCTGGACGATTATGTGCTAATTATGAGACCTATTCAGTGTTCCGTGGTGCAAACTGCACCAGCGATTGCACCATTGTGGGATGGATCTCGGTGAGTAGCAGGTGAGTACCAGTGAGAGGCTGATGAGGCCACTCAAGTGCTAAAGACACTCACTTTACCAATGCGACCAACTACACAGTGGCGGGACGGGATCATATGCACTAAAAAGTGCATGCAATCTGAGCAAGTGATGTGATAAGCGCAGTCACTGACACCAGCGATTAAAACACGCAAGTTTCACAAAACATTCGTCTCGCAGGATGTATTAGCCGTCCTCAGCCCGATTAACGTAGCAGACGGGTAGCCGTTCCACATCAGATACTCACAGCAGATAGTGCGCAGATGCGACCAGCGTGTAGTGTCGTTCGGATGCAGGTATCAGGGAAACTACTCACCAGCAGCGCTACGAAGGGATAGGCTATCCCAGCCATCCGCCCGCAGAAGTTGACGATGCCGAAGCCAGTGTTACGAACCGATGTGGGGAAAATCTCGCCCGTGAATATGTAGGTTACGGTGAACGTGGTAGCTATGCACAGCTTCCCTGCAAACCAGGACGACTGGGATGAGCAGAATACCGATTTGTTCAGCTGCAGCTGCTGTGATGATTTCAGTATGCCCCAGCGAACGCATGACCATAGAAAGAAATACACCATTCTATTTAATCGCGTATGGTAGTTATACTCCATGAGCCTCCTACAGTCATGGCAAGGCAGGTGAAACTGATCGATCAGACTGAATGTGAGACCTGCCTATCAGGACAGACCAGGGGTGGACGGACTATTAGACTGAGTGTCAGACCTGCTTCTCTCAGCACATGGCAGGGGTAACTGACCTATCAGACTGAGCGTCAGCCTGCCTCCCTGATCGTCAATGTAAGAGCCAGGCAGCAGCATGATCAGGACGCAGCTGATGCCTCCGGCCAGCATCACGCCGCTGAGCGTGTACCGTCGGCCCAGTCTGCGGCAGAGACCGCAGTCAGCGCCGCTGCCATACCGCCTAGCAGATTATTCGTAGCAGGACACGAGTTTTCGCAGGTGTTCGCAGTCAGCTGTTGACAGGCTCGATCCCGGTGAGGTGTAATCGCGCAAACAGTTGGTCAGGGGCGTTCAGTGCTGAGGGACGGAATACTCCTACTGCATGCTGTATCGCTGCCCTTCAATGCGGTCGCGACGTAGGCCAGAGTATGAAACTTATTCTAACTTGAACCTCGCAAGTGTCTTCAGCGGTGTTTAAAATGGCCATACATTGCAGCGGTACGCCTACAACGTGTAGAATGCACTTAACGGAAGAGAAAAAACTATTAAAAACAGTGATGTGTTAAATGCATGAACGGTGAACAGCCCGTCCCGAGAGTGTCAGTCAGCCTTGCTGTAAAAACGAGTAGCACAGGATACCACGACGATAGGGAATGGAAACTTCATTGGGCAGCTAGTTTGGCTACCGGGTACGGATGTGTGTATGCCAGTCGAGGCAATCGGCGGCACGTTCTCAATCTGCTCTTGCAATGGTACGTCGACGTGACGTTCCAGTAAATAGCAGCTATGACTATCGGCAAAAAAAAGACAACGCGATTCATGCTACCATTTTCAATTCTGTAGCACGGCAGCAATGTACCACGCATCACATGCAAAAACGGTGAAATGCCACGAAATCTTGTTTAAAAAAATGGTGAAAACCACAACAGAACCCGGAAATTGTGCACACTGCTTAGTCCTGCGCGCAGAACGGCTGGAAAGAACCAAGGTCCAAAGCCCCTGCGCAAGGGCGAAACATCGATGCTGCCCAGTACTCACTTATCCAGTAGCCAGGAGATGACGATCATGGGCGGAATCTCCACCAGGCCCGAGAGGGCGAACGAGATGAATCGGTTTTGACCCATGCTGGCCGCCGCCGCCGTCAGGCCGTAGTAGGTCAGCGTGTGTACCACCCTGGGTCACAGCAGGAGCACGGGATATTAAAGCACTGGCGGCATTCGCAACGTGCGAGGCTCCATCAAGGTACATGACTACCGTATAGTTTTTGATAGTGTGGTGTAGCAGTACGTGAGTAGCATAACTGAGTACTGTGCGATAACAGCAGGTCACTGACCGGAGCAAGTACAGCGCCGATATTAAGCGACACAGCCCTGGCACTTGACCACCGCCCTCACATGATATTGTTCGGCGTTGGCAAAGGTATTTGTTGTTTGGTGTCCTGTTACATGCTGCGAATGCATTGCTACGAGAACGAGAGTGCGAGATAAGATGGCAAGTTTCATAATTCCTGCACCATTTGGGGACTTGTGACGTCATCAATCATATTGCACAGATCAACGTAACCCTGCATCTAGCGGGCGCGTAAATCATCCCAACCCGTGAAAAATTGGTGTAAAGCCCACATATTCATACTTCACGGGCTTTTCCACTCGATTATATATGCGATTATATATGCGAGCTTCTCCACTCGTTTTTTTACATGTCTATATGTATATATATATATATATATATATATATATATATATATATATATATATATATATATATAGCTATTGTTGCGTCAAATTAAATAGCAAATTATGCTGCGACGAACGTCACACCTCCTACTCCCTACCAATCTAAATCCTTGCTGCTTCATGCCTCTGGCATGGACGCCGCCGCCGGCAGCGTCATGGCCACCGTCGTAGCGTACCAGGTGAGGCAGAGCATCACTGTCCAGAGAGCGGAGCGCCAGTGTCGGAACAGCGAGCAGCAGTTGTCGGGAAAGCCAACGGTCTTCTCCCTCGCGGCCACCAGGGTAAAGTTGGCCGGAGGGGTCACTCCGTTCGCACGCGCTATGCCCAGCATGACCTTGTGTGCTTCCTCGGTTCGACCATTGAGCATAAGCCACCGCGGGCTGGCAGGCACAAAGCTGACGGCAGAGGCGGGACCAGTCACTGCATGGGAGATGGCAGCGGGGGTGGGAGCCGATAACGCCAGAGGGTGATGGCGGGACACCATGCTGGCGGCAGAGGCGGAACCAATCATCAAATGGGAGATGGCGGCGGGGACGGGAGCCGGTGATGCCAGAGGGTGCTGGCGGACACGAAGCGGAGGCTGTAACATGGACCACTGAGGACAGCGGTAGCTGGCCTCTGACTGCAAAGCCTGGATGGTGGTGATGACAGAGGCCAGGGTTACGCGTGCTGTCAGTGACGCATTCATCACGGAATCACGGAAATGCCCCTGACAAATATGGACGAGCACATGGATTGATCAAATTGTTAAACAACAAAACATACAAAAAAACCTCGCACATAGGAGTAAACTGTTTTATCTTAAAATGTACTCCGCCTTAAGAGCAGTGCTCTTCTCCCATTTTCTCTCAATGTTGTCGGTACCGCGGGAGAAATCTTCCTTGGCTGTTTCTCCAGTCACCCCTCAGCATCGGCGCACACGTACCAGCGTGCCTCCTTCATCGGGAATGCGAACTCGAAACCCAGAAAATGTGGAAATCACTTGGGGCCGAACCCGAACTATATGCCGGGTGCTGGAGCTCAATAGAGCCGCGGTTGCTTATAGCAATCCGCACAAATCCGGCTTTTTGAACACACACACCGTCGTAAAGAAGCCGGACACTCTTTGCCAGCTCTCATCCCCTATTCTTTTACATGCCTTCCCCAGCTGCATCATTAGGCCGGCGCAATCCCCGGTGACTGTTAGTTTCTTTGGCGTGTAGTCGATCACGATGATACCAAAACAGATCCGGAAAGGTTGCCACCACTTTGCCCGAGGAGGCCTGGCTGCGAAAGTCTTCGAAGTGGAATATCCCTTGTGCTCCTGACGCATGCTCTCGCGATATAACTCGGGGTCCAAGTGGTGAGGCTTTGTCTTATATCCTGTCACCTGACGTTAAAACAAGTTCGCAGGGTAAGTTTTGGAGGCAGCGGAAAGCTTCTCACTTAATACAGTCCGCCAATGCCGATCTTGTATGCTGAGGTTTCGCGGCACCGATCCACTGGACAACTTGCCCATTAACATGGAGGATGGTTTCAAAGGTACTAAAATGATATGCGAAACTCAGTTGCAATAGTCTTTATCTTAATCCGTCTACCTTTCAAGATCAACACTTCTACAGCTTCGAATAGTTGGGGCAATGTTGCCTCAGGCTGTTCTCCTGCCCGGGGGTCATCTCGAGGTGGGCAACGTACACGTGCAAAATCGGCGGACCACTTAGCCACCGTGGAAAAATGGGAAGCGGCAGTTACTGCACACACATTGAGCAAATGTTGCGAAATTTTCTCCACATTTTGGCCTTTACTCATAAATTTCACAGACGCCCTCCAAACAACCTTAGACGTGCCATCCATAGCCGACATAACAATTGCAATTGAGACGCTACATTTGAGCCTGCTTTAGCACCAGGGAAAAGAAAACGTTAGTTTGCGACTAGAAGCACAGGCTTCCGCCTGGTGATAAGAAGCATTCACCACACTGTCAAGCTATACTCTATTCCAGGAGCTTGTTGACCCACCCTCGATGTAAAAAAACTACATTTCATCGTAACGGTTTATATCGCTCTTTGTGTACACTTACATCGTTCATATCGACATGCGCGCAATCTACGTTTGTCTGAAGGGGAGTAATCACTCACAAGAGATCACTCATTGATCCCTTATATTATTTGCTTGCTTTTACACGCTCAGCTATTGCGCTTTTCTCAAGTTATTCAAATCCCAATCTTACTTCCGCCATAACTAGCACCAATGCCCAAATCGCCGTATGATATAATTCCTGTAGAAATTTTGTAGTATATAGCACAGAAGCTGGTTCCCGCTCGAAAGTTGGATTGAACGCACTGCACGTTGATAATCACCTGAAGTCCGTTAATGCCGGAAATAATGCTGACATAGCCAAACACGAATAATTTAATGAAATACTTGAATCGGCTTTAGGAACTGCATGACCAATGAGGCCGCAGTGCTCACGTGACGTTTCTATGGCGTCATGGATGCCTGGTTGACCTTACCATAGTCTGGACGAGAAAGCCGGCGCTAAATTGTGGATGTCAAGGTCAGAAAACAGAGTGCTCAGTTTAAGAAAGGGATGGGCTGTGAACTGCAGTGAATGATCTTCCAAATGGCTATCTCGGTTCAAAACGCTATACAAATGTGGAATAGCCCCTTAAAGCATATCACCATAACCGAGTACGCGAATGCAAGTAAACAGTATAAGATCTTAGGAAATACGCAAGAACTGAACGAGAAATAGTCAAAATACGCGCATACAACGATATTTGGGCTCTGGAAACACCCACCGATAGCACGACCCCTCTCGGCAAGTCGAAGTACTACAAAAAATCCCCTCGTCCGCTACAGTGGCAGCTTTGTGCGGTGGTCAAGGCTAAGAAACATGTAATTGTCGAGACGTTCATATCTAACAGTCGTGAGCGCGACTTCCACATATAACGGTCGTCAATTGGCTCTCAATCAATGTTGTGCTATGCACGATGACATAATCAAACAATGACGCATCGAGAAGCATCTTTACTGAACAAAGAATTGTGCTATCTAGAGCAGTCCCCACTTAAAAGGTATATCAAAAATAATAATAAATGAGCTTGTTTCATTCTATCTTATGCTTGTTTCAAAATATTCAAATGTGAAAAATTCCCTTTAAAAGCAGATCAATTGCTACGAGTGAGCTTATTTCACCGTATATCATGTCTGCCTCAATATGTCTATGGATCTTTATTTGTTTCTCAAGCCCAAAATACGATTACTAAGATTGCGAGCTTACTTTCCAAATAATTTCATCTTGAACAGGTGTTTTGTAGGGTCACCTGGTTCATTGCTGTAAATCATTGTGGAGTTCCACAAGAGCCACATAATCGCGGGTTCCTCCACCGTACCCCACCCCGACTCACAGCCATATCACGAACACGGAGAGGCCGGCCAAGGCGGCTGAGGCGATCACCAGGAGGCGCCACGTGGTGGTGACGTAGGCGCCGAGTGCCAGCATCTGGATACCGATGGAGAAGAAGGTGGAGCCAAAGAGGCCAACGCGACTCCGGTATTGAGGCCCCACCAGCTCCGAGGACAGGGTGAAACTCGGCAGGCCGCCCACCTGCAGGACGCCGGCCAGGAACCTGCCAAGCGGTCGAACGCGTCAGAAGTCGACACCAGGCATCCTCAGAGGTCAGAGAGAGGGGAAGCGAGGGGTTACGCAGGTCAGGGGAGCAGAGGGCAACGCGCATCTCCATAGGGCCGAGAACCTTGTCGCTGAGGTCACGAGGGGCCATGCGCGACATCATGTTGGCTCACATTGCTCATCACTCCCCTCCTCTCCCTCCCCTCTCCTGTCTCTCCTCTTCCCCTCCTCTCCTCTCCTCTCCTCTCCTTCTCCTCCTCTCCTCTCCTCTCCTCTCATCTCATCTAATCTCATCTCATTCCTCTCCTCTCCTCTCCTCTCCTCTCCTCTCCTCTCCTCTCCTCTCCCCATCCTCTCCTCTTCCTCTCCTCTCCTCTCCTCTCTCTCCTCTCCTCTCCTCTCCTTCTCCTCTCCTCTCCTCTCCCTCCCATCCCCTCCCCTCCCCTTCCACCCACCTCTGCGTCTGCTTCCCACACCACCACCCGGAAGACCCGAGAGCGGGTCGTCGCACCTCAGCACGGCGAACGTGGCGTAGCTGGGGACGACGACCAGGGCGGCCACCAGCAGGGCCTGCAGACCGAATGTGAGCAGCACGACCCGGCGCCGACCGAACATGTCCGCCAGGGGGCTGACCAGGGGAGCGCCAATCGTCATGCCAGCCATGAAGAGCGACTGCAGCAGGTGTACGTCCGTTGTCCGCTCGCAGACCAGTGACCACTGCATGAGTAGGGGGGGGGGGGGGGGTCAGCTCTCACTGACCGATCCAGGAGGGGGGCACACCACCGACCACCGTCGGCCGGCGTCAGTTCTCACGAGCCGATCCA